CCCCCCCCCCGCCCCAGGAGGGGAAGGGCGAGGTCAGCAACCTCGCACGTTGCCGGGAACATTTACCAAGAACTCGCCTTAGGGGCAGGTGCCCTGCAGGAGGGGGCAGGCTGGACCCAAGCCACCCTGCCACCCTGAGTCTCGCCTGAACCCCCCTACCCGGACTCTGCCTGCATCCTGAGCCACTGCTCGTGAGCCACCAGATGCTAAGTGGCTTACACTGCTGGAGTCTCAACTTGCTCATAGATTTGTGGGGAAGTCCATACCTACAGTGTAAACTCCTGACCCCAGGGCCCCACTCATAGAAGCATTTCGCAAAGGGGCCTGGAGCCTGTGACTGAGACACCACTGCCACCTGGTGGCCACACACCCAAATTACAACTCCAGGGTTTATAGTTCCGGTTCTATTGTTTTCAGCAGGATCTTCTGGAAAAGTTGAAGATGTGAGCCTTGGGTTATGAAGCATTAAAACAAACGGAGGTGACAGGGGAAAGGAAGTAGTGAGTGTCAGGCCAGGATGGGGAAGTTGGGTCATTTCTAGGGCTTCCGGATTCTGGGCTTCACAGGCCTGCAGCCCTTTAAAATGTTTGAAGTTCCCGCAATATCAAATGCACCCAAAACGAAAGAACTGCAACGCCTGCCAAAGACAAGATATCAGTCCTGTGTCTTCTCTGTCGTTTGGGGTTGTCTGTTTTACTCTTTCTCTCCATCCGCATGTCAAGTTGCCTTTTTTGGTTTTTTTGTTTTTTTTTTTAATTTTCAACGTTTATTTATTTTTGGGACAGAGAGAGACAGAGCATGAACGGGGGAGGGGCAGAGAGAGAGGGAGACACAGAATCGGAAACAGGCTCCAGGCTCCGAGCCATCAGCCCAGAGCCCGACGCGGGGCTCGAACTCACGGACCGCGAGATCGTGATCTGGCTGAAGTTGGACGCTTAACCGACTGGGCCACCCAGGCGCCCCTGTTTGTTTTTTAATGTTTAGATGTTTTTGAGAGTGTGTGTGTGTGTGTGTGTGTGTGTG